CTGATTACAGCATTCCGCAGCCACATGACCATGATTTATGCAAGGGATTATATTTTTTTTGCCAGTTTTTGGTCTTTTCAGCCTGTTTCCATCAAAAAAGGGCCCTAGGAATGAATGGACACACTTTACGACTGCAGCATTCACTTTATGACTGTGGCATTGCTTAATGACCACCACTAAAAAGTTTGTAAAATCACAAACTTTTACATCACACGGGTACTTCAACTTAGAATTGTCATGGCGTACAATAGAAATTTAAAGCTCTGTTACAGTCATAAGTCAAGGACCACTTGTACAGTTGCCTACAGTATGCATTACTCAGCATGTTGATGAGCTGTGACATTTCTATTCTGGCCCAGCTGCTTATATCCAATTCTTGCTGCTTTCCTTATCAATGTTTGCTCTCTTTAATTGGTCATTTTCTGCTCCCTGTAAGTTGTAGTTTCCTGGAGTTTGGATCTGAAAGGACCTGCACTAGACATGGGGGGGGGGGTACTGGATCATGAAACAGATTGTTTTTTATGTCCTTTCAGTGAGTATTTTGCCTTATTCACTCCTGGCATATGAGATAATTTTAACCACTTGAGGGCAACCTCTTGAAACATCAAGTTTGCTGGTTTGTATAAATGTTGTTATTCTCTACTCAGGGAGTACAGATGCATTTGCATTTGCACACGAGCACTCAATGAAAAATCAATAGAAAAGTATTAAAGATAGAAATAAACACAATTCATATTTGCTCATGTTACAGAGTATACCTACAAACCCACAATTATGGGAAGAGAAGGATTAGGAGTAACATGATAGCCATATTCCAATATCTCAGGGGTTATTTTCCTGAGAATAACTATTCTCCAAAGCAACTGAGGGCAGGACAAGAAGCAAAGTATGGAAACTAATCAAGGAGAGAAGCAACCTAGAGCTAAGGAGAAATTTCCTGACAGTTAAAAAATTAATCAGTGGAACAACTTGCCTCCAAAAGTTGTGAATGCTCCAACAATGGAAGTTTTTAAGAAGAGATTGGACAACCATTTGTCTGAAATGGTATAGGGTTTCCTGCCTGAGCAGGGGGTTGGACTAGATGACCTCCACGGTCCCTTCCAACTCTGTTATTCTATTCTATTCTATTCTATTCTATTCTATTCTATTCTATTCTAAATAAAGAGTTAATCTAGAGAAAATGAGAGGATTGGCTCAAGTTTTCCCAACAGGTTTTGAGCCTATGTGAAGATTTGAACTCTGGTTTTCTCCTGCTGTTCTGATATTTCCCATTTTACCATGCTGATTCTTGTGGAAATTTTTCTCAGCCTTTGGCGTGAGCACTGTAATTTTAATGTGATATGACTTTGCAAACGCTAAAAATGCCACCTGCAGTATATATCCACTGGAATTATCTCTCAGACCCTACTGCTCAGTGCTTTACTCCTGCTTCAGTAGCATAACTCTGCATTACAGTACTATTTCTGGATGATGGCTGGGGAATTCTAGGAATTGAAGCCCACTATCTTAAAGTTGCCAAGGTTGAGAAAGATTGTATTAGCGGGAAGTCAAAGGTAGGAAGTATAGGCAGGGATATTGACCTTTAGATAATGGCCACTTATAAAGCAGATGTTGGTGTGACAAAGACATGCCTGTATTAGTGAGTTAAGCTGTGTATTGTGATGATGTGATGGGTTTCTATTTCGTATAGCTGGCATATTCTATTAATTTTCAGTGGGTTAATTGTATTAATTCATTACAGTCCAAACTGAGGATGATGGAAAATGCTGATGCAGTCCAAAGCAGAAATTTCCTGATTGTGAGAACAATAAAACAATGGAATGGCTTGCCTTCAAGAGTTGTGGGTGCTAAATCACTGGAGGCTTTTAAAGAGACTGGAGAGCCATTTGTCTGAAATGGTATAGGACAGAGGTCCCCAATCTTTTGGGCACCAGGGACTGGTTCTGTGGAGAGAGGTTTTTCTGTGGACCGGAGGGTGCATGCTTTTGTGTGCTGCCTGCATCTTGCAAATGGGACTTTGATTGTTTGTGTGAACCAGTTGCTGGCATGCCTCAGCCCGGTACTGGTCCATGGACCAGGGGTTGGGGACCCCTGGTATAGGGTCCCTAGCTTGAGCAAGGGGTTCGACTAGAAGACTTCCAAAGTCTCTTCCAACTCTTATTCGGTTAAGAAATTTAAAAAAAAATAGAGGATGGGAAAGAAAAGTAATCAGAAGAAAGGATGATTAAAAGTCTGTCTGGGTTTGCTGCTGAAGCACTGCTTGGCTGGATGACATCCAGATCCCTTCTGTAATGCTTGTTTTGGCAGTGCTGTGGATATGCAACTAGATGATCTAGAGGGTAGACATCTTAGTCTGAGCTGTTAAAGTGCATGTGTGTGTGTTTGTAAAACAATAAGCCCAGAAGCGTATCACTAGTGTTTTACGTAAGTACTGGAAAGAATCATAAATGTTGGCTTGGCTTGCTGTACTTTGTTCCATGTCATTTTTATGATCCTTATGTTTGAGAAGTCATCTGCAAATGTGATTCAAATTATAGGGCTGAGTTACTGTTCACTGAAGCCTTGGGACCAAGGAATGCTTTGAAAAGAGAGAAGAGACATGTTTCTATCAATATAAATGACTTAGGTTTTTAATGCTTTTTTAAATAGTTTCTTCTAAAGTTATACTAATGAACTACCTTGGCCTCATTTGAGACGGGCCACTATCTGTCCATAATATTGTATAATTAGTTCAAATTTAGTTATAGATAGCCTTTGACTTAACAACCATTCATTTCATGACCATTCAAAGTTACAACAGCAAAAAATGACTTATGACCGGTCCTCACACTTATGACTGTCACAGCATCCCCATAGACATGTAATCAAAATTCAGTTGCTTGGCATCCAGCATCTATTTATAACAGTTGCAGCTTCCTGGGATCATGTGATCGCCATTTATGACCTTCCCAGGTGGCTTCCAATAAGCCAAGTCAAGAAAAGAAACTAGATTCACTTAAACACTCCAGCAAAGACTTGAAATTGGATGCAGCTCACTTGCTTAGCAATACAAGTTCCAGTCCCGGCGGTAGTCGTAAATTGAGGACTTTCTATAGAGTTATCTTTCTGCAACCAGTTGAGACGGCAATTCTATGGCAGCATGTTACAATCACAACAAATTTTGAAGTTGCCAGATTGGAAAAAGGAGCACGTAGCACATGCCTTTGTATGTAAGCCTGCCCATTACAGTCCTAAGTTGTGATGTTTGTAAAGTGGGGCACCCACAATGACCCATCCAATTTGATGGCCTTTTTTGTGGTAGTCATTAAGCAAACATCATCATTAAGTGAACCAATTGTTCACTATTGGATGGTTTTCCTGAAAACTGGAAGTAAATGTAAAACGTGGTCACATGTTCAAAATTTTGCAAACACCTGTGCAGCAAGGAAGTTTTTTTTTCTAGTGGTGTCTTTCTAACACTTCTGTACCTGTTTTCAGTTACATGCTGTTAAGTTTGCATACAAAGCTTTATGTAAATGTCACCATTTTACAATAGTTAAATGTTCTTATGTGGATGTGCTTGTTTTTCATGTATTCAATAGAATCAGTACATCAGTAACTATGTAATTATTGAGAAGCAAAAGGTGATGCTACATCCTAGGTAGCACATTTGAAAACAGATTTGCAAAGGATAAGTTTGATCAGGACAAAAACAAAACCCTGATTCTGATTTCATTTAATCTAATTTTTGTGCATTTCAAAAAGGGCATTTTGTAAGTTTTCCCACAGGGTAGCAGCTTACAATAGATTAAATCATGAATATTTGAATAATTAAAATACACCAAATGGCTTAATGAAATAATAAATGGTACAGGATGTAGTGATCGCACTCACTTACACAACTCATCATACATTTAAAATTGACATATAGGTATCTCGAAAGGTCTGAGAGAAATCAAATCAAGTATGTTTAGTAAGGGACTCCCTTGCTTTTAACAATGTTCCCCTTTTCTTATATTAACATCCAAATCCTTCCTCAAGTTAGAAAAAGGCACTCCATTTATATGGCCTCATATCCCTCGCAAAATTCATCTCTAAGACCTTCTGTGTCTCCCTTCCCTTGCCCCACTCAAGGGAGTGCACGTGTATTTATATGTGTATGCATGATTTAAGCACCGGTTTCCCGGTTCGACCCCCATGCTTCTTTTGATAGTAAGAAGAAATGCATCCGGCGAAGTTTTACTTTCCTCCCTCCGCTTTTTCCCCCGCGTGATGAATTTCTGCAGCGAAGTGAAAAGAAGCGGGAGACCCTCGCCTTTCTCTCTCTCCAGGGGGAAAAACGAGGTTAGGTGCTGGTTCAGCAGGTCGGGCGCCCGCAAAACCTTAGGTTAGCAACCCAGCCACGGGCAAGCCTAAGACACACGCCCGCATTCACACGTTCTCCGGGCCTCGCGCGCGGGCTAAAAAGTCCCGCCCACTCTGGCCACCTTTTCAGCTCTCCGCCTGGTCCCCTGCAGCTGCCACTTGTCTCTTGCCAGGTCGCCCGGCTTTGAAGAGACAGGACCGGCCAGCGATCAAGCCAGCGGGGATCGACGAGGTGGCAGCAGCGCCGCCGCTCCTCCCCTCCCGGAGGCAGCGCCGCCTCTCGCCCCAGGTGGCTCCCGCGAACAGGAAGTCGCCCCTTGCCGCGCCTCGAACGGGCTTCGCGGTCCGCGAGCGAAGCTGCAGCCGGGCAGGGCCAGGGGCGAGTTGCAGAAGTGGCGAGCGCTCCCAGGTCTCGGGAGCAGCTCCTGCGTGTGCAAACGTCTCTTCTCGCCACGTGAGGTGGCGGAGGGAGATTCCAAGGCTCCCTCCCTCCCGAGAAGTTTAAAGGAAGCGTGCATTTCATTTTTCGAGTTGCATGGTTCAGACGAGCGGGGCGGGTTGTCATTAATTCTTCTTGTTGCGACTGTTTGCGAAGGGGAAAGGCAGAGTTGCCTCTCCCGTGGTTTTTTTTTTTTTTCTGCCTTCGCCCCCCATTAGAGTTGTAAAGAGATCACCCTTAGACGTTAGAGATGGCTTCCAGTCCAAACGATTCGGATCCGAACTCCCAGCCAGGGGACGGTGATCCGAATCCAAATATCAGCCCTCAAGAAGAGCTGGACTTCTCGATTTTATTTGATTATGACTATTCGCAGCCAGTAGCAGGTTTGTGACTTTGGATTACTCCTATTATTAGTAGTATGAATTTATTACTATCAACCCCTTCCAGCTTGATGGATGCTTTTCAACAGAACTTAGGGGTGTGTTTGGAATGGATGGGGGTTTTCTGAAGGATGCGTGTTCCCAAGGACCAAGGAATGGTACACAATGTAGCTGGTGTCGTTGGGTGGCCAGGATCAGATCCTGTTTCTTTAGTACTTGGGTTGGAAACTGTATCCGATCAAGAGTTGGACTGGACTGGCCTTTACAGGAAAAAGTGGTTTTCTGCAATTAACCCTAAAGAGGGCAGCAGGGAAACTTTACAATGTTTGCTGAGCTTAATTAGGATCATCTGCAGTTAGGAAAGTTTACCTTTCTTCCATCAGGCTAAAGTGGGGTTGAAAGTCTGCCTATATCTTTCTGTTTATCTCTAGAGGGATGCATAAGTAGAAGCTCTGATTGCTGATTTTTTTTAAAGATGGACGTATCTAACAGGGAATGGCAGAAAGGGAACTGTCAAGAAAATAAAAATTATAGTAGCAATAAGTACTATATCTTAGCACATCAAAGACTCCTCTTTGTCATTTCTGGGTCATGTAGAAAACAGCCTTTTCATGACTTTCTGTTTTATCTGACAGCATCATAACTTCATTGCACTCGTAATTGTTTGTTCCTAATGCAAAGCACAGATCCAGAGGGTAGGGCCAGAAACGACTCTGAAATTAATATTGGACAATGGCTTTGGTCAAGCTTGCTAAAATCAGTAGGCTGAGTAGCAGAAGACAAGTCTTTGAAAGCTCTGACTGAAAGCCAGAGTAATTGTAATTTCAACAGAACTTATTCTGTATTTGTAAAGTGCTACAAAATGTCATACTATTTCTACTAGCCTCAGGGCTATGATTGCATTGCTCATGTTTTCAAAGTGTGTGCCTTTGGAAGTGATAAAATATACCTGCTTTTTTGATGTCCCATAAAAATATCACACCTACTTGTTCATGCATCACACACCCTTGTTACACGTTGAGAATAGCTAAACATCAGGATTCTTGGATGTTTCCTTATTTCATAGTACACAGGTATTTAGCAAATGTCATCTGTGAAAAATCCTGGGGGCCTCAATTTAATATGTGTTGGAAATTGTAGACAGTGTGAAAAAGAAAATCACACGTCCTGATGTGGACAGTACGGTTTCGTAGTCATCTTCTGAGTGTGGTCAGTTTTCTTTTGGCAGGGTTTTCTGTATTATGTTAACATAACAAATTCTATAGCAAATTGTTTTGAAGTCTTTACTGCTGTCCAACACTAACCGCATCTAGCAAGAAATGAAGCAAGAGTTGGGATGTCTCAGTTAAAAAAACAACATCATCACTGGGACTCAATAATCTTTGATTCCCACCCCCACACACTATCAGAGATGGAAGAGGCAGATTCATAAAGAAGGAGCGGGGAAAGGTATAATTGCAAATGTAAAGGTGCACAGTGTATTCCTCGCTCCTTTCAGTCAGTTGAAGGGCTGCTTTGACCTAGAAAGAGAGAGCAATTGACTTGGATCCCAGGAGTTTTGAATTGCAAGCCATGATGCTGTTTGAAAAAGAACAACTGTTTGTAATTCAGATATAATCAAAAACAGACATGTGGAAACCTGCAAAGCATTCCCTTCTGCATGCTTCTCAGCCATTTACAAGAGCAAATTAAAGCTTTTTCTTTTAAAATTATGACTTTTAATATTTGTGACATGAATGTGATCACATAATTTTAAAGAGTTTGCATTTTCTTATTTAGCAACATACTGCTTGTTTTGCCCCTTTGGGATGGAATATAATCAGTAACTGTAGGCAATCTCTCCATCCCACCCCACTTTTCTTTAACCCGGTTGCAATAGAACAGCAAGTGTCAAAATCCTCAGCAATCATGGCCAAATAGCCAAAAAAAGTGCTAGGCTGGGCCTGTCATACTTTTTGAATGATTTTACTGCTGGGGAAATATTTTGTAAATGAGAGTAGCATTAGATGAAAGTCTTCGTTTAGTTGGGTTATATCCAGAGAAGGTTTAGATACACAAGTGCAGTGAATGCAGTCAAACATTCTTGTGAATGAATATATTATTATAGAATGAAGAAAACTTTACTGATTCTTTTCTGAATGTGGACAAGAGGAAATATAACCAAGAGTGGTTGATTGTACTTGAGGGTAGACCTACTAAAGTTGCTTTTATGTCACACCTTTTGAACAAATGACAACTGTGAACATAACTTAGAATGTGTAAAGTGGTATAATCTTACAGTGTCAAAACCGACTGAGAATATTTTTTCCTGTGAAATATTTCAACAGTAGTTGCTAATTTACATTTCCAGTAGCGGGTCTAGAGAAATTAATACAGTCAATAATTTTACAGCTTTAATGCACAGAGATTCAGTTAAATAATAAACCCAGCCTACTGGTTTATTACCAAACTTTGGGAAATCTGAGGTTATCTTTGATTCCTAGATCTAATAGAGGAAAAAAGTATTTTCTTATTAAAACAACTTGCATTTTAGTGTTTATTTTAAATCAAAATCAAAAGTAGGGCTGCAAACTTAAATACCCTTAATAGAAATAAGCTTTACTGAATCAGTGAAACTTTAAATGCATGCATTGGATCATGATGGAAATCTCGTTTCCCTATCTTTATGGAGGTATCCAATTCTTCATATAATATAAAGAGAACTCGATGTGATCCACAGAATCATGCTAAAATCTTATTAGTCTTATTAATATTATAGTTTAACTATAATATTTTTCAGTTAAATTAGGTTATCAGATCTGCACTACCAACATTAAATTTGGTTTAATTCGGTTTTAAGGGGGGGATTGTATATATGTTTTGGTTTTAAGTATGTTGTGCGCCGCCCTGAGTCCCGTCGGGAGAAGGGCGGCATATAAATTAAATAAATAAATAAATAAATTAAATAAATAAACATTGTGACAGCCATAAAACAGGAGAAAAAGGTTAGCTTGTCAGCCCCACTAGATAGGTCAGACCAGGAAATCAAATCCACAGGAAGGCTAAAACTACTTTTACTGAGATTGGCTATACGGTAATAGTTGAATCTTGCAAGTCTGGTTGTGTTTTACCTCTTCCTCCTCCTTTTACTTCAGTGAACCAGGCATCAGCCTGAGCCACTTCTGAATGTTATCTCATAATTTAGGACTAAAAAAATATTTCAGCCCCGTTTGCCTAGGTATTCTGCATATCTCCATCAAGGTCACCTTTCTTACTCTTTGCAGGGTAGGGTTTCTTAATCTTTTTCTGGCATTGATCCTTTTGAAATGTGATGATCTTCTTCTCTGTGAAATTTTAGAAGTTGGTGAAAATGAAGTTGTATTTTTTCCCATTCAAGTTCCTGTATTCTTTGAAACCTATCATGGATCCTGGGTTAAAAATTGCTGGGTTAGAATTTTCTGTATCTTTCAGACATCATACAGTGGTTACCTGGATTTTTGCTCGACATGGAAGAGCGTTATGTGGGAATCTAAATGCTGGCTTCTCCAGCATCTTAATGGTTAAAATAAATTTTTGAAGAATGCTGCATTGAAAAAAATCATGGTCAGTTGTGATGCTTTACTAACTCAAGCTGAGTAGCCCTCACAGAGAGTAAAAGTTTAAGTATTATGATTAGGGTGGTTAAACTTGGTTCAGTGTTTTGATATTATACTATATTATAAAACCTGTTGGATGGATCTGGTGTAGATATACACTCTGCTTAACTTATTTCATAAGTTTATGAGGACACAGTTTGGGCTTTTTGTAACTACCCTAAGCTTCTCGAGAAAAGGTTTATATATATGTAGCGCTACCCCTGAAAGGGCCACTAGAGTCTGGGTTCTCCTGGTCCTCTTGGGCTGGCTGCCGGTCCACAGTGGTCCCTCACTTAGACACAACTGCTTGGCTGGAACATGTGATGAGGTGGTGGTCAGTCTCTCTCGGCAGACAGGTCATGTGCAGGGAAAGTGTTCAGGTGGCTGGTCAGCTCCTCCTCCTCCTCCTCCTCCTCCTCTTCTTCTTCTTCTTCTTCTTCTTCTTCTTCTTCTTCTTCTTCTTCTTCTTCTTCTTCTTCTTCTTCTTCTTCTTCTTCTTCTTCTTCTTCTTCTTCTTCTTCTTCTTCTTCTTCTTCTTCTCCTTCTCCTTCTCCTTCTCCTTCTCCTTCTCCTTCTTCTCTCTCTCTCTCTCTCTCTCTCTCTCTCTCTCTCTCTCTCTCTCTCTCTCTCTCTCTCTCTCTCTCTCTCTCTCTCTCTCTCCCCTCAAGCTTGCCCCAAAGAAACCTCTCGTATCCTATCCCCTTCTCTCCCTCAGGCTTGCCCCACAGAAGCCTCCCATATCCTATTCCCTTCTCCCTCGGGTTTACCTCCTAAAAGCCTCTCCCATTCTCCCCTATTGTCTCCTCTCCCAGGCTTATCTTCCCCAACCTAAGCCTCAGCAGACTCAACTCCTCCCTGCCCTCTCCTGACTCCTTTCCCAGGCATCTCCAGGTACTGTCTCTTCAGCTCACCCTACCCCCACTACATATATGTAAACCTTTATGTACATATAAAATGTGTGTGTGTGTGTGTGTGTGTATGTATATGTATATATGTGTGCAGTAATAGAGGATGCAGCTACATGGCCTTAATAGATGCAAATGCAATAAACCATAATGATCTGGATCAAGCTTGAAATTTAACCTTGGCAAAATGAATGCCATAAAGGAAGGAAAGACAGTAAAAGAAATGTCCTTTGGCACCGTGCATTCGAGTTCTTACAAGCTTTAATCATGTGCTTATAGAACCCAGTGCAGCAGCATTTGACTTGTTTGCCATTGCAAATCAAAACTGAATGAGATTATTGATGTTATCACAATACTTTCATTATTGGACAAAGGACTTGCTGGTAGCTTACATGTCCATTTGAAGCTGTGGTCTTGGATTTGGCCATTGGCTCTCTGAAGAAAATTTGATTGAAGGTAAAAATATACAGTACATTCCTTAGAG